TTAATCCAAAATGCAAGCAAGAGGGATCATATCTCTCCCATATTAGCTTCTCTCCACTGGCTCCCTGTAAAATTCGGAATAAAATTTAAAATCCTTCTCCTAACATACAAAGCCCTTAATGACAAGGCTCCATCATATCTTAAAGACCTCGTAGAGCCTTATCATCCTAACAGAGCACTTCGCTCTCAGAGTGCAGGTTTACTTGTGGTTCCTAGAATCCACAGAAGCAGAATGGGAGGCAGAGCCTTTAGCTATCAAGGTCCTCTCCTATGGATCCAACTCCCAGTCTCAGTTCGGGAGGTGGACACCCTCTCTACCTTTAAGATTAGACTTAAGACATTCCTTTTTGATAAAGCTTATAGTTAGAGCTGGAATAGGTGACCCTGAGCCTTCCCTTAGTTATGCTCCCCTCCCCTCTCCTTTCCTCTCTTTTCCTCTCTCCTTATGCTTCTATATGCCACCATTACACATTACTAACTTTGTGTCTCCACTCTCCCATAGTGTGTCCTCTTTCTCTCCCTGTACTTTTCTGCAGGTTGCCCTGGCTCTGGAGCTCTATGTTTCTGATGAACAGTCATCAGCCACATCAACCTGACCAGTGTTTGATTGTTTGTTGCGTCTTGTTGCTTTTCTTCTTTTGTCTCTCCTCTATCCACTCACCCCAACCGGTCGAGGCAGAAGGCCGCTCACCAAGAGCTGGGGTCTGTCGGAGGTTTCTTCTGTTAAAGGGAGTTTTTCCTCCCCACTGTCACCAAGTGCTTGCTCAAGGGGGATTTGTTGGGTTTTCCCTCTGTAATAATAGTGATAACAGTAAGGTCTAGACCTTACTTTGTAAAGTGTCCTGAGATGTCTTTTGTTGTATTTTGGCGCTATACAAATAAAATTTGATTTGATTTGATTATAAATGGCAACATTACAACTGGAGAATGTCTGTTTATGTTTCAGGAAGAAGTGGTGGAGATAGAGTATGTTGAGCGAATCACAGCCCCAGAGCCTGAGGAGTGCATGATGCACGATGACTGGATTAGCTCTGTAGATGCAGACGCTGAATGGTAAGATGACAAATACCACTTTGAGTTCATAACAGCATGAACACTTTCTCATCAACCTTGTTTTTGTCCTGTATTTTTTTGCAGGATCTTAACAGGGTCATATGACAAGACAGCCAGGATCTGGTCTGTGGAGGGCAAAGCGATGATGACTGTGGCCGGACATAGAGATGTGGTGAAAGATGTAGCCTGGATTAAAAGAGGTGAGCAGGGCAGAATGGTAGACACTCACTCTGTTATTTCAAACCAGTCTTCAAAACATCTCCGTGGATGTTTTTCAGATGGTCTGACCTCTCTGCTTCTGACGGCCTCTCTGGACCAAACCATCCTGCTCTGGGAGTGGAACTCCGAGAAGAGCAAGGTGAAAGCCAGGCACTGCTGTCGGGGACACACGGGGAGCATTGACACTGTTGCCACAGACCCCAGTGGCTCAAAGGTAAAGTCTGAGTGGACAGAAAACAAATGATAAAAGTCAAATATAGGCTTTAATTCATTTGTCGAATGTCTGTTTCACTCTCTGTTAGTTCAGTGGGGGCCCATCCCTGGTAGGCTAGTGGTTAAGGCACAGCGCTCTTGCTGCTGCAGCCTGGGTTTGAATCAGGGTTGCGTCAGGAAGGGCATCTGGCATAAAACACGTGCCAAATGTCAACATGCCAGTCGTCAGTGTGACGATTCGCTGTGGCGACCCCTACATGGGAAAAGTCAAAAGTGACTTTCTTTCTGTTTCACTCTCTGTTAGTTCTGCAGTGGCTCCTGGGACAAAATGTTGAAAATTTGGTCAGCGGGTATGTGCCTATAATTAACAAATGATTGTTAAGTCTTTGTCTTTGCCAAGCTAAAACATTTTTCTTCTACTAATAGTGCCCACAGATGAATCAGATGAGGTTGAGGACATTTCTGACAGACCGAGGAAGAAACAGAAGACTCAGCAGTTGGGCCTGACCAGGGTGAGTGCAGAGTTGCAATAAAAACTCATTAACAAATGATTTGTTAATATGAAAATTCTCATGTTCACACACTGACACAGACTCCCCTGATGACATTGTCTGGACATAATGAGGCTGTGTCCTCTGTCCTGTGGTGCGACAGTGAGGAGGTTTGCAGCGCATCCTGGGACCACACCATCCGTGTGTGGGATGTTGAGACTGGAGGAATGAAGACTACACTGGTAAGACAGACTGTCAAACATGCTGACCACATGTAGTAATAGTTGATGACATTCATAACTGTAGACACTACTCTGGGCTGGAAAACACACTAGAAATCCTGTTCATTGTTGTTCAATTATCTTTCAGGCATATGCATTTCTAAACACTCTAGAAATTACCATCATTCAGACATAAAACAGTGAGGTATAATGCTCTGAAAATATAGCTCTATTTATTAAAAAGTATGCAGGCTCAGTCAAAGAAAACTAAACATGATTTCAATTAGGTAGCATAGGTATATAATAATACTATGATGTGCAAAGCATTTTAGACGATTAAATTGGAAGCCAGTTTTATATACAGAATAAGATTTAGCTAGATTCACTGACTGCTTCTTATTTAAGAGATGCACCACTATTTTGAAGCATCCGCAGTGTCTCCTTTCAATATTTTAGATTTTCCTCCTAACAACAAAATTTTGTTGTGTTACAGAATTATTTTTATAAATACTCAAACAGGGACATACGGTGCAACCATTTGAGACATTTCCCATAAAAACTGACAGACATTTTTGTCCTTTCACAGACAGGTAGCAAAGTGTTTAACTGCATTTCCTATTCCTCTCTGTGTCGACGACTGGCCTCAGGCAGCAGCGACAGACACATTCGACTGTGGGACCCTCGCACCAAAGGTACTACTTTGACATCTTTATGTCAGATCGTTTTCTCTGTATCACATAAAAAAAATAAATAAATAAAATCATAGCTGCATTTCCACCCTCTGCAAGTAGTACGCTGTCTTTTGCTCTTCATGCCTATAAATGCCTCCTCTCCTGTCCAGATGGGTCGCTGGTGCTGCTGTCTCTGACCTCGCACACTGGCTGGGTCACGGCTGTGAAGTGGGCACCTTCTCATGAGTACCAGCTGGTCTCTGGTTCCCTTGACAACCTGGTGAAACTGTGGGACACCAGAAGGTCTGTGAAGCACGTAATTCATTGTATTCTGTGTATAATATGCATCTTAATCAGAAGACAGTAACGTATTCCCATTAGAAATTAAAGTTCAAGGTTTTCAGGCACTAATGACAGCATAAGCGGGGTCATTATCTACACTGTTAAAGTAGAAAAGGTCACTTCTGTCAAGATATGGAGAAGGACATCCTGTCCATTCCACGTTTGAGTAAACAGCTGTCTGCTAAGTGATGCCCATGTCTGAAACGAATTTTGTGATCTTGTCAGAATAACATCAGTGTCTTCACTGTTGGCACTTAGGTAGAATCTGTCAGTTTTTCTACTGTATTTTGGTGTATATTGGTGTTTTTTGTGTTTTATAAGATAAATAAGCTTGTTATAGGCATCCAGTGAATAAATCTAGCACCTAATTTTGCTGTATTGTCTTCCAGCTGCAAGGCGCCTCTGTATAACTTGGCAGCCCACGAGGACAAAGTGTTTTGTGTGGACTGGACAGAAAGCAGTGTAAGGCACCACCGGATTTTAACTCTACACAAACACTGTGTATATAAAATCAGTGTATAACTCACTCTCTCTTTTATGTTTCTGTTTTCAGCTGATGTTGAGCGGAGGTGCGGATAACAAGTTGTACACCTACAAATACTCATCCTGTCAGACAGATGCGGGGGTGTAGGCTCAACTGCCAGCATGGATTGCAAAGAGATCCCGCTCATCCATCATCACAGACACCCATGTGTTGTCAGTGTTTTCACAGGCAGACAAACACAGCAGTGGTTCAAATTTTGTAAAGTACAAACTTTGCTTGTTTCACTGTTTTGGTTATTTTTACCTCCTTGGTTACTTTCTTTAATTTCCTGTAACCCAAGAAAACTATAAATTAAATGTCTCCAAAAATGTTGTCTCTTGAAGTTAACGTTGCATTTCCTAGTCTTTCATGATTTTTATATTTAGATGGTGGCTATTAGTTTATTAGCCAAGTGTAAGGCCATTTGAGGATGCAAGGCAGAACTTTAAATTATACTGTAGGTGTTTATTAAGGTTGTCAGGTGTTTTAAAATAATTTAAGTACACCAAAGTAAACCACCTCCGGTGAGCTTTCAGGGCTCAATCATTGAGATTGTGGACACCTTTAAATACCAGGGGGTCCACCTCAACAAAATGGATTGGACTGAAAACACTGATGCCCTGTACAAGAAGGGCCAGTACTGCACCACACAGTAGAGGCTCTGAACAGTTCCTTTAGCGCAAGACTGTTACATCCCCAGTGTAAGAAGAAGCGTTACCGTAGGTCGTTCGTCCCCACAGCAATCAGACTGTACAATTCATCACTGCAGGGATAAGCTAGGTGAAAGTATGAGGGACTATGTAATAGTCAACTGAGGTGCAATACTCAAATCCTGGGGTAAAATGCATGGTTAATATGCACATATGTAAATTCTGTTCTTGATTATTCAAATGCTTGATTCTATTTTTGAGTATTTGGAATTTATTTATCAGGATGTGTGTGCGGTGCTTGTTCTCATGGTGTTATGCTGTTCTCCATTGCTGCTGAAACACTGAAATTTCCCCATTGAGGGATCAATAAAGTACCTACCTACCTACCTACCAAAATCACATACCATAAAAATACTTAAATTATGGTACATGATTTCTTTTTTTTTTCCTATTTATATGATACTACCATATCAAAGTGCAGTGACCACAGCCATTCAATTCCTGGGAGTTCACATTAGTGCATACTTTCCTTGGTCACTCATGTGGTCAATCAGAATCAGTTTATTGGCCAGGTGTGTTGGACACACGAGGAATTTGACTCGCGTACATCGGCTCTCAATGTGCAAACAGTAGACCAGCATAAGGCTGTGCAATATAACAAAATAGCAGTATTAACATCAACAACCAGTGCAAACAATTCAGAAAAAGCAGTATAAATAGACAGTAAACAATGCAGACAACAAGGGAATGTTCATTAAAATGAGATAATTAGGGATAAAAATAGAGTACTTAAAACAGAGTACTAGAGACCTGTATGAGTCTGTATAATCTGAGGGTTATTGTCCAGTCATATGGTCGTGGGTTAAGTGTACATCAGAGTGACAGCCTCAGGGAAGAAACTGTCCCTGTGCCTGGTTGTCTTAGTGCACAGTGACCTGTAACACCAAGAAAGCACAACAGCGAATATGCTTTTTAAGGAGGCAGAACATTGGTCATGTCACCAAAGTAGCTTCTAGTCATCCAGAGCATGTTACCTAGCTGCATCACTGGTGCTAGGACAGCACTGCTGTGGACCATAAACACCTGCAAGATGTGGTCAAGGGAAGTGTGGTTTTACTGGCATTCAAAGTGGACAGCAAATGTAACATTTCATTGGGGAAACATGCTTTTTGACTGCATATGACAGTAAATGTTTTGACCTTGACCTTGCTTCTCTAGCCAGCAATTCCAGCACAACCTTCCGCAGAATTGCAGTACACATTTTGAGGCATTACACTAATACAGTATTGTGCTGATCGTACAGTTATTTGCATTTGTTTCAACTTGATGCATGCTTTCACAGACATGTAGACACACACTGTGTGCATCAACCGAGCATACAAATGGGATGGCCTTTGAGTTGTTTTTTTTTTGCAAATTTCCTATACAGTTGTCACTCACAAATTTTAGACATCTGCTTATATACATATTACTTACGATCTTTGAGCAACAGCGACCCCGTGTGTCAAAACAGTGCTACATACAGCTTCTTTGCATATCCTGTTTCTCGGACTCGGATGATGATAGCCATCAGGAGAGGAGGCTCCCCGGGTCTACGCTGCATAGATGCTCGGACAGCTGAACTAAACTAAAAACAAGGTAGAATTTAAAGAGCGGTATTCATTAAATATCTTTCTATAAGACATTAAAGCGGACTTGTATTTCCTGTAGTTACATGTCAACGAGACGTTACGTTGAACTGGCCACGACACTTGCTATTAGCTAAACTGCTGCTAGCACTCAAGCCCCTTTACATTTTCTGCCATGCTTTCTCCACTACTGCTTGGTTAATTTCTGGTTTAATACCCCGTCATTCATGAATTCACATTACTGATACATGTCAGAATGACGCTTTGCCTTTTCTTTCTGTTAGAAAGCTAGCGTTTGGTGTAACTGAGCACTTGCTCGACAGCTAAGCTAGCTGCCTCTCAGTTCGCAGGTGTCTTCAAACTGCTCCAAGAACCATATTAGATTAACTGTTTAGCTTTTAGTGCTCTTAAGTTTTTCATCTACAGATCACCTGTAATAACCGCTTATATTGTAACTGATTCGGGAAGCAGCTGTCAGCTCAGCTTTCATGCCTGCTGCTGGTTCTTGTATGTACTTAGCTAAATTAAACAGGAAGCAGCACTACAATTTAGTGTGATTTTACTCATTATTATACCCAGAGAATATGACAGTTTTACACAAAATTCTTTTTGTCTATCAAAGTCGTGCTCTTCAGTCTAGTAAAAAAAAATACTTGGTCATGCCCTTTTCATAACCTTAAGTAAAAATATTATCTTTAATGGACATCAGTTATCTTACTTTGTCTGTTTAAACATATGTTTTTTGTTTAGAACGGAAAAGGGAAGATATCCAATGATGGACGGGTATGTGTGATATTTTTTACTGTAGCCAGTGTATTATTATCATATGAAACACTGTTGTTACAAGCAAAATGACACACCCATGTAAAAACTAAGCTGCATCCTCATGCCACTGACTGAACCACTGCTCTGGGGTCCAGGTTCCCTGTGGGCATGCCAAATGGCAACCAATCTCTGATCAGCGAGGACAGCTCAGTGATGGCTCGCATGCAGAAGAAGTTCTGGAAGACCAAGCAGGTCCTCATCAAAGCCACAGGCAAGAAGGAGGATGAGTATGTGGTAGCCTCAGATGCTGACCTGGACGCCAAGCTCGAGGTAGGACAGGAGACAAGAGGGCTTGACTTGAACACTGGGGACTTGAATCAGACTCGAAGTTTAGTGACCCGACTACAACACTGGTACAAACGCAGCCAAACTTTGTATAAACTAGACAAACATTGTTTTAAATTGTAGTAAATCTGAAATGTAAAAGGGTAAAATTGTATGTTAAGGGTATGATAAAACAGGTTTCCATAATTCATTTCTACAGCACATGCTTCTAAAAATAAACTGAAGCTTGTGGGAAATTTTGGAAACATATTACATCTATAGCTCAGAACATGTTGAGTGTGTTGGTACAAGGTGACCATTGTTTGCAGAGCTTTTTCCTGCTGTCTAGTTATAACACTTCTAATTATATGGGAGATGTCTCACATCACAATGATGTCAACAGTCTTAGCCCTCACTGGACCAGACAGTCTGGATTGGCTGAGATGTGACTGGCACTTGGCTGTGACAGGCTGTCTGTCCTGGTCCTGTGAGACAGGAGCATGGTAGAGTTTCACTGAGCTATAGGAGGCTTTTGTTTTGTTTGGGGAACAAGATCAGGCCTCTTCCTGCTCTCTTTGTCCCTGGATCCAGCCCCAGCAAGACAGAAACAGAATGAGAAACTGGAGGAAGGTGTTGCAAGGCAGATGTTTGAAGAACACATTTAAATATTGAAAGCTGACAACTTGTGTGTTAATTTTCAAGCTGCACTAGTAAATGATGTGTTAGTGATGGGCATCTGTGTGGATGTGTTGCACAAATATAGCTGTTTCCTCCTAGCTTATTCCCTAGCTGTATTGCTGTGACTCAGTCAGACCAGTTGCCACTACAGGCTAACACGATATCGAAGAACTGATTGGTATTACTCACTTTATGTTACTTTATGCTACTGTTATAGCTCACTAAGAGCCAAAGATCTGACACTGACAGGTATTTGGCCTGTGCTGAGGCAGACAAACCCGAGGTATTGACTGTTTATTCTACAGTTAATCAGTAACTCTACACATGTTTAAGTCACCTCCTCCCTCCGATCTTTTCATATGTTTCCACTGGATAAAAAAAGATTGTTGCTTTGTCAGTAGCTTAGCTGTAGTTGAAGGCTTAAGACAGGTTAAAATGTGTGTGGTCATTATAATTGCTTTCAAATTATGCCACAGGTTTTGCTAATAAATATTCTGTCTAAGTGTTCCCCATGAACGAAGCCATGAAAATGTGACACTGACCCAGCATGTACAATACCAGGACCCTGAAACGGAAGCAGCTAAATGGAATTCTATTAGAGCCATCACTGATTTTTATTTTATTTTCAGCTGTGCTTTTTATTTTACAGCAACATGTCTCAGGTCCATTTAATACACAGATACATATGATACTTTTTCTGTATTGCAGCTAAGCTAGTTAGATACTAACAGCACAATAATGTTTTTGAGCTGTTTATTGTTGGTGAAGCAAACAACTGCAACTTTTATTTCTGCTGCCAAGTTTGTGCTATGACAAGTTGAAACGTCTGCTCTTTGTTATAATCCTAAATGCACTTAAAAGGTTTTTTTTTTTTGAAGGTGGTCAAAAGGCTCAATTCCAGTCATGCCTGCTGTCTGTAATCTGTTTTCTGTCACTAGTTGTGAGATATAAAACTACCACACATTGATAAGGGTGCAGGACAAACACTGTGAAATTCAGCAGTTGCTGTAATTTGCTAGAAATTTTGCACATTTATTATAAGCAGTGAACTCCAGTCTCACGTCAAATGTAAAGGTCTGTAATTACACACACACACTACACACACACACACACACACACACACATACATACACATACACATACACACACACTTCCTGAGCCTAATGCCTAAGGCTCTAGAAGTCGCGGTGACCCTTCCATCCCTCACTCTTTCTAGCAGCATTGGAGTGGCCTTGATGTCTGTATTGCTGTGACACACACCATCATCATTTAGTGACTGTCATTAACTACCAGATGGGAGTAGAGGCGGCCGACCACCAGGAGAGAGAAAAAAATATGTTGCGTTTACTGATAGAGAGGGGCAAATATCCCACTGCAAAAACGTTTCAAAATCAGTGACATAAAACGAATAATCCCAAAGCCACATGTTGCTTTAAAGTAGAACTGATTTGAGAATAGTAGCCTAATGTGTGTAGGAAGTGTTTCTAAATTGGGTCTGCTTGTCTGCAGTTCTTCCGCTCGGTTCAGGCCACATGCACGGAGCTGCTGAAAGTGATTGAGCGGTACCAGCACAGGATTACACGTGAGTGACAGTCATGTTTTCTCTCTAACAATAGCAGCGGTTAATTTCAGACATATTTTGAAATGAGGTGCCCTGCTCCACAGTGTTTTCACATAGCCTCTGCCAACTGCAGGTGTGCTCCTGGTTGTGATTCACTAGCCTATATGTCTCTCCATTAAAGCACTGTAATCATTGCTGTCTGGAGAATAGCAGCCTGAGGTGCATAACAGAGGAGTTTGTCACAAAATCAGCAATTGTTCCCTTAGTTTTCTAATTTAACGCCCCCCCAACAGACAGTCATGCTCTCCTTTCTCCTCATCTATCCCTCTCTGAGCTCTGTCTTCTATCCCTAATCTGTGTTCCCTCTTTGGAGGTGACAAACACTTAATGGATTAATATAGGCTAGTTACTTTTTAGTGACAGTTATAATTTTTGTTTTTTTACTGGTTGCAAAGTCCTCAGCAGTTCACTGGTCTGTGCTTCACTCAACGACATAACCGGAGCCTGACTGAAAGCGAGACGTGATGTGTGACGTTCGGTGTCAATCATCAGCTCCTGTTGACCTGCAAGGACAGCAGACAAAGAGAATGGTGTTCTATCTGCTGTCTGATTTGGCCTTAACTGTACCTGTGTATGTGACTTGACCTGTTTTACAGGCTTCTCAGGCAAGTCACTGAAGCACTTGATTAAATGATTGATTGGTTGGATTTATTTATTTATTTTTTGCCATGGCGGGCCACCATGTTTGAATGTTACCAGCGGAATCACTGATCTATGTTGATTTGATCTTATTCCCCCTGCAGAAGTTAAAACTGTGAGCTCTTTTCCCAGGGTTGTCTCAGGAGGAGAACGAGCTCGGCCTGTTTCTGTGCTTCCAGGCTGAACATAATCGCACCAAGGCTGGCAACATGATGGGTGCCACCAGCAAGGCCCTGTGTACCTCCGCCAAGCAGAGGTCAGCAGCAGCAGAGACAATAAAACCAGTGATTAGGCACTGAATAAATGAATATACAGTGCATTCCAAATAAACTTTGAAGTCAAAAAAACAACATCCAACATCCTCCCACTGTATGTTTTTTTTGTTTCATAAGGATGGCACTTTGCCCACCACTGCACCGTTTGCACCAGGAAGTGGAGACATTCAGGCAGCGCGCCATTGCAGACACGCTGCTGACGGTCAGTCGTATGGAGAAGGCCCGCACCGAGTACAGAGGAGCTCTGCTATGGATGAAGGATGTGTCCCAAGAGCTGGACCCGGACACCTACAAACAGCTAGAAAAGTTCCGCAAGGTAGGAGGACGTTCCCCTGAGATTAAGAGCATGGATGCATCCACTCTCTCCAAAGTATTTGTGTCTGTTCTTTGTTCTCTTGGTTTCTGTTTTTCTGTTGATAGGTCCAGGCCCAGGTCAGAGGGACAAAGGGCCAGTTTGAGAAGCTGAAGAATGATGTATGTCAGAAGGTGGACATGCTGGGAGCAAGTCGCTGCAACATGCTATCCCACTCCCTCTGTACCTACCAGGTACATGTCTGTCCAACTTTTAAAGCATTAGGTTTTGGAAATATTTGCTTTCTTGCCAAGAGAAACTTTGCCACTTTTTCATGCTCATTACAGAAATCACACAGCAGCTTGTTAGCATAGCATAGCATAAAGCTGTAAACAGAGGGTCCCAACTAGCCTTGGTCTGTCCAAAATTGACAAAAATCAGCTTTTATTTTGAAAGGTTTCACTAGTAAACACTTAATAATATTATTATTATTATTTGGCTAAATCAGATATCCTAATCTGTGTACCTGCTTCTTTCTCTATGGCATTCATGCTTTCCTGACATGGCAGACCACTCTGCTGCAGTTCTGGGAGAAGACCGCCCATGCCATGTCGGAAATCCACGAGGCCTTCCGTGGACATGTACCATACCAGTTCACCACACTCAAGGTAGTTCAGACTAAAGAGACACAAGTATGCTGCACAAGTCATAGGGGAAATTTATCTGTTGTTCCTCCTTAAAAAACATTGTGATTGTAGTCTGATGTGTTAATGCACATGTCCTTCCTCTAGGACCTGCGAGACCCACTGGAGCAGATAACAGACTCGCAGAAACAAGAGGACAAGACAGAGGAGCCTGTACAAAGCAATGCAGACAAGTGAGAACACATGCATTGCAAACAGCTACGTCTTCATCACACATGAGGAGAGGCACCTGTGTGTGGCACACTAATTTTTTCCACTCCTCCTCCTTTCGTTTGTCCTCAGACTGTTGTCCTTGGATGAGGAGAAGCCATCAGGAAGTATGTCTGATGGAGGTATGTAGTGCCCCCTGTAGGCAGGAACAGAGTGGAGCTTCTCACAAATTATGATGCCATAATGTTTTCTGACAGTTTTTGTTTGAAATATTAGCAGGTGATCAAGTTCAAAATGTAGAAAAAGCTGTGTTTTTTTTAATGTATAGGCTTAAGCAGTACTAAAAGTGACAGGATTACCTGCATTTATGTATAAATTTGTCTTAAGATATGGTTTGATCTTTAAGTTACAATAATGAAAACAAAAGTTGTGTTCCTGTCTAGACCCTGCCCACAGCAGTGATAGACAGAGCAGGGACAGTGGTAAGTGTGTGTTCAGCAACTCTACAGAAGCTCTGCTGTTAATGTGTTTGGCATTTTCTGTGGTCAGCACTTGTGTCAGAAGTGTACACTGGGATTAGTGTTTCTGACTGTGAGCCGGATGCCTGCTGGCTTTATGATCCTTTGATCCCAGTGCACCGAAACAATACCACATCCACTCCAGCCCTGCGCGACCTCAGTGGACTGTCGGCAGGCCCTGGTGACGACCTGATGCTCATGGCCTGTGATGTGCCACAGCTCCCAGACACAGCAAACGTCCCACTCCAGCGTCAGCCCCTGCCTCCTCCTCCTCAGACTAGAGACCTGACTGAGCCCTGGGGCTTTGGAAGCCTCCAGTCTAACCAGTCACAGCTTCCTGCTATTGGTAAACTGGCTGGCTGTCTACTGGTTCTTCCATCCAGAGCTTCCTCGCTAGTTCTCAGCTTTCCCATCTAAACTTTGCTTATTCTCCTGGGATTTCATCTCTGTTTCCTTTTGCATTTTGGATGTGGAGTCAGGCTGCCTGGCTGCTGAAAGGGGCTTTGTTTCCTTTAGCTTAAGCCTCTATTTCACTTCAATTCTGAATCTCATGTCATTTTCCTTGTGCTGTTGATGAATGTCTAGAGCAGTGGTTCTCTTGAACAAGTCATGCTAAGTAGAAGTTTAACTATACATGCAGTAGCCATATTTCATAGCTGTATTTCTATACTAACAGTGAGGCTGAGAAAGTTCCTTTTTTTTACCCCCCCCAATAGGTGGCGATCTGCTCTCAGGTGGCCTTCTCTACCTTGTGGGGAAAGAGCCAAGACTGGAGGATGAAGACAGCGAGAGGGGTGACATGGCTTTCCTAAAAGACCTCCTCAGTCCAGGTCCAGGGGTCAGCGATGAGTTCAGCAAAGAGTGGCAGGATGCTTTTGGAATGTTTGACCCTCCCAGTGTCCCTTCTGTAGCCTTAGGGGCAGCAAGCAGCAGGCAAGCAGCAGCGTGTTTGCCCTCTGACTCCCACAGCCCCACAGGTTTCCTGCCCTCCCAGCTGCTGGATCACAGTCTGAGCGCCACAGGTTTGACATGCTGCACTCTACTAGGGGGATTAGCTCACTGCACCACACTGACAGACACACCTAGCATAAAAAATAATGGCCTCTCTTTCTTTTCAGGCTGGTCAACCCCACCTATGTTTGAGGCTCTACCTCTGCAAACTCCTGGTCACAACCAGTTGTGACAGGTCATTGTAATTGAAAGCTCAGAAACAGTTAATAGATCTGACCTAAACCTAGCTGTCCCCTGATGACCTGTGTATGTGTGTGTGAGCAGCTGCATCCAAAGACATGTCAGCCTGGTTCAACCTGTTTGCAGACCTGGACCCCCTTTCCAACCCCGACGCCATTGGACGTTCTGCTGATGAGCTGCTCAATGCCTGAAGCTCTGTATATGTATGTGTGTGTGTGATTTCTATTAAAGGATCTGGTTTTCAGCAACTTTTCATCAACACACAGGCGTTATGGCCACATGCACATGCACCCACGTGTGTTACCAGGAGAGTTGTGTACATGTTACACTGGAATATGATGTTTTATTCTGGAAAAATGAAACACTGTTATCAGTGGGCACCAGCTGCTCTCTGCAGCTTGGAAGCTGTTAACAGGCAGAAGACACTAAACATGAAGTTACTGACTCATGCACACATGTGATTTGTGTTACCTTACACTATGTGTTATTGCAGCCTCTCAAGCAGAGTGAATGTTTGGCTTACAGCATTGTTTGTTTTTCTCTGTTTTATTATGTTTGTGGTGTTTGGGTGTGTGTCCACGTCACCTGGGACCCAGGATGTAAAAATAAAATATTTACTCTATAATCTTGTTTATACATAGTAGCACATGATTGTCACATATGAATAAAGAGGGTATATATATTGGACATAGTGTGTGAATGAGATGGGAATTTTAAGCCTAAGTGTTTGGCTAATACAATACCTTGCTTTGTGACACATACCCCTGGACAAAGTATTTGAGAAATAATGGACTCTTGTGTTTTTTTTATTGCTGTGGGGGATGGAAAATGTCCATCCACCTGCATCCCACATTCTGTCAGGTTGAATGTTGTGCGGTCAAAACAGGAGGGTTTGAAATCTGTCCCATTTGTTGGTGAAATTTCACAACTACACGTCTAAAGCCTAGAAAATGTCTGAACTTTTTGTAGTTTTTCCTTAAAAGATGTTTTACTGGAAGATACAAGAATTACATTTTTTGTTGGCTTGTCTGAAAAATGTACAAGGCTTACTGTAAGCTGCATCAACAGCGTATCTACAGTCTTATGCAAAAGTTTAGGCACCCCTTGATAAATAACAGATTTTGGTGATTTTTTATTTGAACAGATGTTAACACAGTTTCTCTTGGAAATGGAAAAAATGCACAATATTTTCAGCAAACAGTGATGCATAGTTACTTCTTATGCCATAAATTGAACAAAAATAAAAAATAAAAACATTATTATGGCATGGTGCAAAAGTTTGGGCACCCTAAGAGTTCCAGAGTCTCAAAGTCTCTCACAAGGTATCAGACCTTAATCAGCTCGTTAGATCTGATGCACAGCAACAGCTGTCATTGGTAAATGCCAATTTCAAAGCTGTACAAATACTTTGACTCTTCAAACCTTGTGCACACACTTGTGGACACCCAGCAACCATGGGTTCCTCTAAGCAGCTGTGTAAGACCCTGAAAATGAAAGTTATTGATGCCCACAATGCAGGAGAAGGCTACAAGAAGATAGCAAAGCGTTGTCAGCTTGCAGTTTCCACAGTAAGAAATGTAATTAAGAGATGGCAGATCAGGGGAACTGTGGAGGTCAAGATGAGATCTGGAAGACCAAGAAAACTCTCGGACAGAACTGCTCGTATGCTGGTCAGAAAGACAAATCAAAACCCCCATTTGACTGCAAAAAACCTGCAGGAAGATTTAGCAGACTCAGGAGTGGTGGTGCACCGTTCCACTGTGCAGCGATGCTTGCACAGACAAGGCCTTCATGGAAGAGTCAGCAGAAGAAAACCTTATCTGCGTCCCCATCATAAAATCCAACGTCTGAAGTATGCAACAGGACATCTACAGAAGCCCGATGCGTTTTGGAAACAAGTGCTGTGGACTGATGAAGTTAAAATAGAACTCTTTGGACACAATCAGCAAAGGCATGTTTGGAGAAAAAAAGGAGCAGCATTTCATGAAAAGAACACCTTGCCAACTATTAAGCATGGGGGTGGATCTATCATGCTCTGGGGTTGTGTTGCAGCCAGTGGCACAGGAAACATTGCACGGGTGGAGGGAAGAATGGATTCCACTAAATACCAGCAAATTCTGGAAGCAAACATCACACCATCTGTAAAAAAGCTGAAGCTGAAAAGAGGATGGCTTCTACAACAGGACAATGATCCTAAACATACCTCGAAATCCACTATGGAATACCTCAAGAGACGCAGGCTGAAGGTTTTGGAATGGCCATCACAGTCCCCTGATTTAAACATCATTGAAAATTTGTGGGTAGATCTTAAAAGAGCTGTGCATGCAAGACGACCAAAGAATATTACAGAACTAGAAGCCTTTTGCAAGGAAGAATGGGAGAAGATCCCAAGTACAAGAATTGAAAGACTTTTAGCTGGCTATGAAAAGCGTTTGCAAGCTGTGATATCTGCCAGAGGAGGTGTTACTAAGTACTGATTGTGTAGGGTGCCCAAACTTTTGCACCATGCCATAATAATGTTTTTATTTTTTATTTTTGTTCAATTTATGGCATAAGAAGTAACTATGCATCACTGTTTGCAGAAAATATTGTGCATTTTTTCCATTTCCAAGAGAAACTGTGTTAACATCTGTTCAAATAAAAAATCACCAAAATCTGTTATTTATCAAGGGGTGCCTAAACTTTTGCATAAGACTGTATTTATCAGTGTCACTGAACTGTTTTGCAGTTCACTGTAAAGACATCTAAAGTAACACCATTAAATAACTGTAAAATAATAGAATCAACCCTAGAACACTGTTACCATGTCACAAAATATATTTTAGACTTTGCTGATGTGGATTTAATTCCATCCATCCATTTTCCTCCGCTTATCCGAAACCAGGTCGCGGGGGCAGCGGTCTAAGCAAAGATGCCCACTTCCCTCTCCCTAGACACTTCCTCCAGCTCCTCTGGGGGGATACCGAGGCATTCCCAGGCCAGCCAAGAGACATAGTCCCTCCAGCGTGTCCTGGGTCTTCCCCGGGGCCTCCTCCTGGTGGGACATGCCCCAAACACCTCCTGGGGATTTAATTCCCACTGATTATATTTGTTTTTGAGCCTAAATGAGACTGACAATGCAGAGCTGGCTTTCTAAAATGTATTTTAGATAAAAGGAAGATGGTCAGAATGCTTTTTAGGCTAGACAACTTGGAAAAAACTTTTTATACACGCTGCACTCTTACCGTACACAGTAACTGCCAGTACTGTATACATTGTTGTTTTATACAGAAGAGGATTAGGGCCACTGTTAAAAAAAAAGGACTTCTCAGAACATACCTTTTTAAAAGTTAACGAGAAAACAGAATTTTGTGATTAAAAACAATTCTGAGATTCAAAATGGGATTATGAGGACAAAGTCAGAATTCTGAGTTTAAAGTCAGAAGCCTGATTTTAAAAAGTCAGCTCAAATATTTTTACAGTGGCCTAATCCTCTGGTGTACTTTTTGATGCAACACCTTTTTGAGATGAAAAGGCATGAATGAACTTGACTGATGCTCCTGTATTAGTATTTCTGTCACACCATGTCTTGCACTGTTTACTTTTGATCAAAAAAAAAAAAAATCATTTCTCAAATCAATCACAAATGCTTTATTTAATTCAACTATGACTTTTTTATTTCACTTGAGGGGTTCAACAGATTTAAACTTGGCAGTTCTGTTTCATTTAAAGTGGACAAGCAAAGAATAATTGTTTTGAGAATTTCTTGTCTTGAGCTTCATTCCAAAATGCTGTTTATCCCCTAAGGAAAAACAAAAGTGTATTTTCACATGTAAGAATCTGCTTTGTCAAACTACTTAGTTGTAAACGTATCTAAAACGACAACATGTTGCTGTAGGTGTGATTGGTTTTCAGCAAGTAGACAGTATCTCATTTTGGAATAAGAACTCATTTCTTACATAATCAAAACTTAGTTACACAGCCATTTTAGCAACTGGTTGTTACTTCAAATCAGGTCACTGAACAAATGACATCCACACTTCTTTCTACTTCTGCTCTGCTACAGGTTTACATCCTTCAGGATTCCCACTGTGTGACGCTACACTGACAGCAGTTTCACTCTCTTT